CGGAGCTCTCGGCGGAAGCCGGCAGAGGGCCTCTCGGCGGGGCCGCGCCATTCTTTTACAGAGGGGGAGGAGCTCCTCTCGGCGGCGAGCGAGGGGGGCAAGGGAAAAGGAGAAGGCCTTCTCAGAAGGCGGCGGGACTTCTCAGAAGCCCTCGCGCCTTCTCAGAAGTTTTGTCTGTCTTCGGGGAAGGCTTCCAGAACTTGTCGGAAGGCCGGGGGACTTCCGAGCCTTCTGATAATAAGGCCCGCTCCTTCTCACCTCCCCCCCGGGCGCGCCGCCGATCCTCCCCACAGAGCCATCCCCACGCAGAGGTGGGGGTGCGCAGAGGCGGGGCCGGGGCACAGAGTTTCGGTGCCGCGCAGTGGTCGACTGCACGTGAGAGTGATGACCCTTCGCCAGAGTGGCAGTGACTCCTGGTGCGGGCCCACAGGGGTCCCCCGATCGCCGAGCGCGCTGCGACAGCATCGTCTTGCGCGCTTGCGTTCGGCCCCCCCGTGGCATCCAAAAAGCCGCGCACCAGAGGTCACTCTTACCCAGGGCCACTCCTGCGTGTAGCCGAAGTTGCGCGGTTGACAACGTGCCCCCGCAGAATTTTCCAGGGAGCTCGGGAGTAGCGTTCCAAGCAAGAGGGCCCGCGGAGGGCGGCGCGCAGGCGGAAGTGGGCCCTCGGCAGAGGTCAGCGCTACCGCGCCCAGGGTTTTTCAAGAGTCGGCTCAACGTGGCGGCGTTCCAGAAACGGCCTCGTCCTCGAAGGGACCCAGAGAGTTGTCGTCGCTTCCTCGGCGGAAGGCCAGCGGAAGCCAAACGAGGCTACATTCGCCGGCGGAAGTCTGCGGGAGTAAACCGTGTGTCTCCCCAAGAGATGGCACATTTTGGGGGGATCAGGGTGTCTGGGCTCCCCCCGCACAACAAAACAATTGGTGACGACGATGTGAGAGAGTGCCATAACATCCTGTTGCGAGAGAGTTCCATAACATCCTGTCCAAACTCGAGCCAGGCCTTGATCCATTGGGTCCTCGCCAGAACTGCGTGCGTGATGTTCTGGTTTGGCGCGCGAGTAGGGCCAGCCTATGTTCATGGCAAGAGTGGCACACCCGTGCATCAAGTATCACGTGAAGCAGGTGTAGGTTGTTATACATTCAGCACTACTTGAGAGAAACTCCTACCACGTGAACGCCGTCGACAGGGTGGGTTGGAGGCTGACGTGAATGGCAATGGAGCACTTTGCGACATGAGATTCGCTCGCGACTATTGCAACGTGTAAAAAGTTGTCACTCGATCGACCGAACAGATCGCGCGAACGCCTTGCATCGTGATACCAGTTGAGTTCGGATGCTTGTTCAGATCGCTGTTCGACGTTTGCTTGTTCTTGTTTGGACAGTAATTTCATAATGTAGTACTATGCCAAGGGCGTCCTCGAGGGCGCGACATTATTCACGCTTCGCGGTTCGGCTCTGATTCTGCCTCATCCTTCTGTTCTCCCCTGGGGGGCGGCGCGAGAGCGCGAAGTATGGTGCGCTTGCGTGATGACCAGAATGATGATCGCGAGGTTGATCCAGAATCAGAGAGATAGTCTGACATGACGTTCATGACGTTCCAGTTACTCATGGGCACGGCAGCACAAGGGGAATTTGTTCTGTATGATCCAGACCACCGGTGCTATTACGCTATGCGTCGCTGAGCTTCCTGTCCGATTGATGATTTCCCGATCTTACAGGGGCGCCATGTCTTGCCCGCATGCTTCCCATCGTCCTGCCAACATGTCGCATAGGGCCGTTTGGGGGAGCAAACCCGCGGGCTGTTGGATCCAAACCTCTTTTACGGAGTCGGAGCTCGTTCGCCGATGCAGCCCCAGGAGGAGCAGGGGCCGACTCAGATCCTCGGCGACGCAGAGGCTCGGTGCACCAGCGTCTCTCTGCGTGCACCGCTTGGCTTCCTTCAATACCACTCGCAGGGCGAAAGACCCCTTTCCCCGCCCGCCAAACCCAGTATAGATGCAGAGGGAGAGGCTTCCCAGAAGGAAGCTGCTTATCCTATCAGCGCAGGCCCGACGCGCCAGAAATCATCAAATGTCGGACACAAACGCCCGCGCTTCGATGGATTGTTTGCAGTTTGAGCGAAGTGTGCACGTGGAGCCTGAAGGCATGAGCGCTCATTCGAGATCCGTGTGCTGAGTCCGACGTCGCCCCGTCGGGTGCTCATGTTGCATGCTGCTTGCTGCAGTCTCCGGTCTGCTATTGACTGCGCGTCGGGTTGACAATTGTATCTGCTCTTCCATCTTTCAGACCCGGTCGTCGTGTCTCCTCTTTCACCCCTGGGCCATGACGATGATGTTTGCAAGTTAATGGCTGGTTGCGGCCCCAGCCCCCCGTCCGCTGACCCTGCCGTACCATGTCGGCGTCACCCCAATATACTTATACTATATGTTCGTCGCCCCCTCAGGGGCGACGCGCGCACCGAGAAATCTTATAGTAGATGCGTCGTGGCGGGCGCTTTCTGGCCACACCGCTCGGAAAACGATATACTACAAGATGGGTATACTAGATGTTCGGGTCGGACGCGCGCCTCCAAGGAGGACATCTAGTATTAGTATGTCTCTGTGTGTCCCATACCACTTCGGTGCTGAGGGGCACCAGCCCGTGTTGTGCAGAATTGCGGACCTGTCGCGCAGGGGGGCGGGCCAACGTGGAAGAAACGGCACCCCTTTTCCGAGCCATTTCGTTCTGCTGCATCCGAGTCGGCACAGCCGTGTGTGCGGGGAGGATTAGGCGGGTGGGGCGTTTTCGAGTGTTTATATAGGCCCTCCCTCTCAGTGCTGGCTCAAAAACGCATGTTTTTGTTACTAATCCTTGCGGATATCTATGCAAAGACCAGTCAGTCGATGAAAGCTGGCATATCTGTAGCACCTCCAGGTCGCCATCGAGTTTGAGCGCCTGGCTACTCTAACGATCGAGGGGGCTTCCTTGTGCCCTCCTTTTGGTTCAGCGGCGGGCCAAAGCCCAATCTACTCTGACCGCCATCCAATTGCACGCTTGTACTTCTATTGTGGAGGCCTTGCGGCCGGTTCCGCCGACCCTGAAGGGGCATTAGGAGGCCCCAGGAAGGCCGCGACAGAGCCGAGAAGCGCGCGAAGGTAGGTCGACGAGTGTGCCAGAAATGGCGTCCACAAACCCTCGAGAATGGATAAGAGACAGCGCACCGTGTCACATCTATCGAGTGGCGTTCGGCCCGATCGCATTCTTTCTCACACTTACACCTTTACGGTGGGGGTGTTTATTAGGGTATGTGCCCAGGAGGCTTCAGACCCTGGATGATTCCTTATCTCATGAGGGCGGCAATGGCATCCGTGGCCAATCCACGATAGGAGTTCTACCGGCTTCCAGACCCTGGATTCCTTAGCCAATGCTTTCACGGTATTTCTTCCGAGCTGCCGCCGCTTCTCCTGGCCGGGGCCCACCGGGCGCCGAGCATCGCGCGAGGGAAGCGAAGCCGAGTGCGGACCCTCCCCATCCGGGCAGGCGCGCGTGCGGCGCGCGCGTGCCGAGGTGCTCAGCTGCTCCTCCGTGGAGGCCGCCGCCAGTGCCCTCGCGCGGCCGGACTGCGTAGCCGCAGTAGCCCGCCGACCGTTGCGGAAGGACCGCCAGCTCTGTGCAGTCAGGGAGGATTGCCTCCAGGCCTCCCTAGTGGGGTCGGAGGATCGCGCCGCGCCGCCGATGCATCGGCGACACGACTCGATGCGGAGCCCAAGTTTCCTCACGCCATCGGCGCCGACGCATCGACGTCTTTGCCGCTGCATCGCCGAGGCATCGGAGATGCGTCGGCGATGCGGTGCGAGCCTCCGACCCCATCTGCTCGGACCCAATTTGGGAGGCCTCCAGCACCAGGGAAGCTGGGCACACATGAGACGCGGCCAGACTCCTCCTCCTCCTCCTCCTCCTCCGCCTCCTCCCCCATCCGCCCCCCCTCCCCCTCCTCCTCTTCCTCCCCCTCCTCCTCCTCCTCCTCCTCCTCCTCCTCCTCCTCATCCTCCTCCTCCACTAGGCGAGAGTTGAGCACGCAAGGTGGCTGGATGTCTTTCCAGCGCTCGGCGCCTCCGTGGCCGTGTGTGCGGCGGTTCCGCATGTGCATCCCGCGCGCGGCCTCCCGAATGGTCCACGTGTGGGTCCAGGCGCGCGCGGTCCCCGGGTGCCTTGTGCAGCGGACGTCCTTGTTGTCCTTGCGCAGGCAGGATGGGGAAGGGGAAAGGAGGGAAGGGGGAGAGGTAGGGACAGGAGCGGGCGAGGAAGGACGAGGTGGAGATGGGGGGGGTGAGAAGGGAGCGAGGAGGGGAACGAGGACGGCAATGACGTGTAGTCGTGAGGGCTCACTGGAGGAGGGATGCAATTCCTCTTCCTCCTCCCGGGCACGCGGGCGCAAGTAGAGCAAGGGTTGGTTGGGCCAACCCTCGTCCTGCTGGCCCCGTCGAAGCTCGCCTCTTTGCTTATCCTCCTCTTCCTCCTCCTGCTCCTGCTCCTCCTCCTCCTCCTCCTCCTCCTCCTCCGTTGATGATGTTGCGCAGACTCGGTGCAACAGCATGTAGCGCTATGGTGCAAGGAAAAAACAGTATGCCGACTTAGGCTAAGCGCGAACGGGTCAGGCCTGGCGGGCGCAGCGAAACAACAGAAGGGCAAAAAGGCGCGAAGAGTGTGTAGGGTCCTAAGACCTTCAAGCATGCGCCCGCCAGGCCGAAGACATCAGCTGAGTCTGGTGGTGCCTTTGTGCTCCTATCATACCCCAGAATCAAAATCAATCCCCCACGTCCACGTTATTCTGTCCAGGCTGGCTGTGTTGAAGTAAAGAATGTGTGCACTGCGAGTAAAGGGTAAACTGACAAGCGACTCTGGGAGCGGGTATACAAGAATAGGTAGCGTACAGATGTTGAGCAAAGTGTGCTCCTCCCCCTCCTCCGTAGCCATCTTGGCTCAAGCCGTTCCGCACGTTTCCATCGCCACTTTCCGGAGATGGCGCCGGCGCCGGCTGGTGGACGTGAGGTTTGAGATGGAGCTGCGGGGGGGCGGGGGCCTTGCCCGCCCGAGGCAATGCCGACGAGTGGCGCGCAGCTCGGGAGTGGGCGCGGCGCTCTGCGGACCGCGCCGTGCTGAAGCTCTCGGAGGAGATCGCGCGCACCAGAGACCACCTGGCGGTGGTGGAGGACGCGCTCGCGGCGGTGGTCGGCTGCAACGAGGTGGCCCCGCGTCTGCGGGCGTTGCCCCCCGCCTTGCGTGAGACGCTGGCTGGCCCGGCGCCGACCTGGCTGGAGACGCTCCGCAGGAAGGTCGCCCTCCACGCGGACGCCGACGGCGTGGACGTGGCGACCGCGGGCGAGGCCGCGCTGAAGCGGGCTCAGAAGGGCCCGCGGCTGGAGGCGCGGCTTGAGGCCGAGAGGGGCTCGGCGGCGGTTGGCGCCAGGCTCTCACCAGATGCAGCCCCGTTCGTGCCAGCGTCCTGCTTTGCGCCTGGCGCTTGGGACGTCGAGCAGCTGGCGGCTGGTGATCAGCGGGTCGCCAGCGTGCAGCCGCAGGAGCAGGAGGCCCTCGAGACGGAGCACGAAGCTCTCGGCGTCCAGGACGGCCCGACCTTCGACGGCTCGGGGTTACCGATCGTCGGCGGCTGCAGCGGCGCGCCCTGCGAAGGGACCGCGGAGGTCTCTGCGGGCACGAGTGCTACGGAGCTGGAGGCCTTCTTCCGTGGCGCCAAGGAGCGGATGAAGCCGGCGGCGCTCGCGATCGCGGAAGCGGGGAGCCGAGGTTTGGACGACGACTCTGAGGCGCAGCGCGCCGAGCTCGCGGCGGCCGCCGACCGCCTTGTCGAGCTCGAGGCGCCAGCTCGCCGCGGCCACTGCGGCGCAGGCGCCGTTGGCCGTCGGGCGACCTCCCGCCGCGCACGGCCTCGTCGACGACGACGGCGGCGACAAGGATGGTCGCGCTGCTGCCGCCGACCGCCGCACTCCTGGCCCATGGGCGGACAGGTTCGTGGTCGGCGAGATCGTCCCCGCGGGCCTCGCGCCCTTCGCGGCGGAGGGCGGCCCTGCCGTGGGGGCCACGGCCGCGGCGGCCTCTGGCCGAGCGGCGGTCTCCCGCGGGACGGGCGGCCGTGGCATGCTGGGAACGGGTGGCGACGACGGCTTCGACGTGGAGCTAGAGGCCGCCGACCGCGGGAGCGGCGGGCCGCAGCATGGCGGTCCCCAGGCCGCCACGGCCGCCCGCGCCCGGGACCTCGCCCAGCTCTTCGCTTCCTGCGTGGCGGAGATCAGCAGCTGGGCACGCCATGGACGCCGCCTTCGACCTCGAGGCGGGCTCCATGGGCCCAGGTCGGCGTGGGCAGAGCCTCGGGTTAAACCCAGGCTCGGACGACGCTATGGGGCGGATCCTGAGTGGATCCCGAGTGCGCAGTTCTAATGCAAGACCTTCTTAGGTCGAATCTAGCCTCCTCCTCCTCCTCCTCTTCCTCCTCCTCCTCCTCCTCCTCCTCCCCCTCCTCCTCCTGCCCGTCTCCTCCCTCCGTGTCCGAACTCAGGGTTCAGATTTCGGCCGCGTGGTGCACGTCTGGGGGATCGCTGCCCCGGTGCCCACTCCCACTTCTGTTGCTGCACGCTCTGAGCGATATTATGCACTGGCCTGGTGCGTGGCCTCTCGCGCATGATTGTCCCTGGAGCCTGTGTTCTCGATGGCCCTCTTGCAGGGCAGCGGATTCCTCTTCCTGCCTTGCCTGCCTGACTGCTGCGAGCAGATTAAAAATTAGCCGGACGAGGGACCCAACCATATGCAGGTGTGAGTAGGCTATGAGGCAACGAACCGTGCAAGGGGTGTGCCGACATGAGTGGCGTGGTACACAACGCGAACGAAAACTATTGATCTGAGTACGTAGGGAGATTGAGCATGGGTGAATCTGAGCGCGAGTGCGTCTGACTGTGAAGGAATCTGCGTGCGAGCGAGTCTAGTGCATGAGTGCGAGTATGACAGAGCATGGTGCAGCTTTATATGAATGTCAATCGATTGAGAATGACTGCCTCTGAGTGATCGCGACGCTGGGCATGGCCGCCGCAAGGAGCTTCCCCGGGACTCCCCGACGGCATCGCCCGCGCGCCGCGACGCCAATGTCGGCGCGCCCCCCCGCGAGGATCGCGCCCGCTTCCTCCCCTTTTTTTACTCCCTCTTTGCCCGCGCGCTCAAAAGTCCAAGGCTGCGGGCGCAGCGCAGCGCGGAGTCCACGCGGCGCGCGCAGGTCGCCCCGGAGGGGTCCCAGCGACGCGCGCGGGTCGTCCGCTGCGCGGAGCAAAGAGAGCTAGCTGGCTGGCCGATAGCGGGCAAGGCTTCTGACGCTGGGCAGAGCGACGACGGGCGAGCGAGGCGCTGGGCAGAACGCAGCATGGAGTCCTCGCGACGCGCGCTGGTCGCCCCTGAGGGGTCCCAGCGACGCGCGCGGGTCGTCCGCTGCGCGGAGCAAAGAAAGCTAGCTGGCTGGCTGGGACCTTCGGTGGGGCTCCATATGGGGCCACGAAGCGCTGTACTGGGTGAAGGAGACGCATGCGGACTGCGCCACGGAACCTCCGGTGGAGTTCCCTACGGGGCCACGAAACGTGTGAGGGGTGTGCCGAAATGAGTGGCGGGCACGCATGCGGACTGTGCCATTGGGACCTTCGGCGGAGCTCCCTATGGGACCGCGAAACGTGTGAGGGGTGTGCCGAAATGAGTGGCGGGCACGCATGCGGACTGCGCCACGGGGGCCTTCGGCGGACCTCCTATGGAGCCACGAAGCGTGTGAGGGGTGTGCCGACATGAGTGGCGGGGGCGCGTGCGGACTGCGTGCGCCACGGGGACCTTCGGTGGAGTTCCCTATGGGGCCACGAAACGTGTGAGGGGTGTGCCAGAATGAGCGGCGGGGACGCATGCGGATTGTGCCACTGGGACTTTCGGCGGAGCTCTCATGGGGCCACGAAACGTGTGAGGGGTGTTCCGAAATGAGTGGCGGGCACGCATGCGGACTGCGCCACGGGGACCTTCGGTGGAGTTCCCTGTGGGGCCACGAAACGTGCGAGGGGGTGTGCCGAAATGAGTGGCGGGGACGCATGCGGACTGTGCCACTGGGACCTTCGGCGGAGCTCCCTATGGGGCCACGAAACGTCTGAGGGGTATGCCGAAATTAGTGGCGGGGACGCGTGCGGACTATGCCACTGGGACCTTCGGCGGAGCTCCTGTGGGGCCACGAAACGACGTCTCTTCAAAACGAGGACCCAACACCACAGGACCGTTGGGAACTAGTGTCAGGGCTGGCCGGGCCAAGCCTCGGCGCGACCGTGGCCTGGGCCCCAGCCGCCGCGCACCGACCGCGGGAGGCACCGGCGGTTCCTCCGCCTCTCCAGGAGAGGCCGCGGGGGAGGAGAAGGAGGAGGAGGAGGAGGAGGAGGAGGAGGAGGAGGAGGAGGAGGAGGAGGAGGAGGAGGAGGAGGAGGAGGAGGAGGAGGAGGAGGAGGAGGAGGAGGAGGAGGAGGAGGAGGAGGAGGAGGAGGAGGAGGAGGAGGAGGAGGAGGAGGAGGAGAGAGGAGGAGGAGGAGGAGGAGGAGGAGGAGGAGGAGGAGGGGAGGAGGAGGAGGAGGAGGAGGAGGAGGAGGAGGAGGAGGAGGAGGAGGAGGAGGGTCGGGTCGGGTGGAGGGCGGGCTCCGGAGCCCGCCTGCGCCGGCGCGCCGGCTGCCGCTCAGCGAGTCATCCGGACGGATGCCCGCTTTCTGAAACCTGCAGAGGGCCAGCGTGCCAACCAGGGGCACCACGGCTCAGCCCTACAGCCCGCGCGGGCCACAAGACAGAGCCCCCAGCTTTCCAAGCCGAGTCCAACCGTGGCGACGAAGAGGCAGCCGACCGAAAAAGCAAAACAAAACGACCCCGGCCGAAACTCAGCTCGCGACGTCCTCACTTCCAAGCCCAGGTTCATAGCTCGAAAGTGCCCCGCCTGCGAGGGACGTCACAGCCTGGTCCAGGAAGTAGGTCTTGATGTCGAGCGCCTTCGCCGGGTGATTCGCGAGCACCTTCTTGACGCACGCGATCATCGTCTCCAGCTGCTCGTGCAGGTCCTCGCTGAGGGGGGTGCCCAGCCGCGGCTTGAGCAGGGCACGGAGCTCGGCTTCGAACTCGTCGCCCGCCTGGTGCCCGCAGTTCTCGTCCCCCGCCTCGTCGAAGTCCAGCTTCTTGTACTTCCTCTGGCGGCGGCCCTTCTTGGTCTCGCCGCTGGGGCTCCCTCCCTCCGGAAGGACGCCCGAAAACTGTGAACTGCCGCCCGTCGCGGAAGACGTTGCCTGGACCTCGGTCTTCGTCGGCCCAGGCTCTCCGCCTCCGCTTCCGGTCACCTCGCAGCCCCCTTCTGAAAACTGATCTTCTTCGTCTTGGCCCCCCTCGATGATGACTCCGGCTCCTTCTTCCGAGCTCGGGCCAAAATGGGCACTCCCGAGTTCGGCCTGATCGTCGATCGTGAGATCGACGACTTCTCCTCCTCCGCCAGCCCCCAGGACTGGGTTGAACTTCCCGTTGAAGGCTTCAAAGCAGCTCCAGGTCCCAGTCCGCCTCCAAGCAGTCCGCCCACTTCGCCTTCTGAGGTTCCGCTGTCGCCGGGCTCAGCGGTTCTTCCATCCACCCGGCGTCTCCTGCCAGCGGGCGCTCCGACCCTGGTGGCCGGCCCAACTCTTCCTGGTCGCTGGCGCAGCCGTCTTCCAGGGCGGGGGCGGGGCCTCCGCTTGCTTGGCCTCCTTCGCCTTGTCCCGCTTGGCCTTGCTCGGCCTCGGCTGGCCCGTGCGACGCCTCGCCGCTGCCTTCGTCGTCCTCTCTGGCGATCCCGGCGGCGAAGTCGCCCTCTCCTTCGGGGCTGGCTTGAGCGTCAGCCTGGGGGAGCGTCCGCCAGGTCCCACGCCACCACACGCGCAGCCCTCTGGCGACGGCTCCTTCTCCCCTTCGCTCGCGCTGGCCTCGTCCGAGGACGGCATCTCCTCGCTGTTGCTTGCCTCGGGGCTCTCCTCGGCCGTCGGCGACCTCCGTGGGTCCCGTCGCCGAGGGGCCTCCTGGCACCTCGGGCGCTTGTCCCGCACCCTCCTCGACGGCTTGGCCGGCGCCTGCCCCCTCTTGCGCGGGGGCGTCGTCGCGCTCGCCGCCTCCGTCGAGTCGCTGTCCGACCCGGACTCCTCCGACGAGCGCTGTCTCCGCTCGGAGTCCCGGACCGACCGCCTGCTTGCCTCCGGAGGCGGGGCCTGCCTCGCCGCCTCCGCCGGCGCGCGCGGGGAGCCCCTCGGGGCCCGCGCACGTGGCTCCGCCCGCAGCTTCGCTCCTGGGGCTGCGTGGCCCTCCGTCGGCGAAGTCGGGGCAGGAGGGGCCCGGGTCTTCGGCTCGCGCGGGGAGCCCTCCTCGGCCCTCGCGGCTGCCTCCACCGGCGCCACTTCCTTCGGCGGCAGCGGGCGCTCCTGGGCCTCGCGCGGGGAGCCCTCGGGGGCCCGCGCGCGAGAGCCCGGCTCCGTCGTGTGCTCGCTGGCCTCCACCAGCTTCTGCACGACCTCGCACACCTGCTTCCTCACCTCCTCGACGATGTCCTTCCACAAGTCGGCTCTCGCCGCCGCCACTTGCTCTCGAACTTCGCCCCGTAGCGCTGCCCGGATGTCCTCCCCCTCCTCGCTTGACGAGTGGGCGGCCGTCATGCCATGCCGAAGGTGCATGGCTCCGGGGCATTGCTCCGAGCCCATGGCCCACGCCCGTGTGCCGTTTCGAAGTACGCGGGCGTCAGCGCTGGCGAATCCCTCGAGCCAGAGCCGAAACGGCTAGGAGGAGGAGGAGGAGGAGGAGGAGGAGGAGGAGGAGGAGGAGGGGGAGGAGGAGGAGGAGGCGGAGGAGAAGGAGGGAGGAGGAGGAGGAGGAGGAGGAGGAGGAGAGCAGCAGGAGGAGGAGCAGCAGGAGGAGGAGGAGGAGGAGGAGGAGGAGGAGGAGGAGGAGGACGACGAGGAGGACGACGAGGAGGACGACGAGGAGGACGACGAGGAGGAGGAGGAGGAGGAGGACGAGGAGGAGGACGAGGAGGAGGAGGAGGAGGAACAGGAGGAGGAGGAGCAGGAGGAGCAGGAGGAGGAGGAGGAGGAGCAGCAGCAGGAGGAGGAGGAGGAGGAGGGGGAGGAGGAGGAGGAGGAGGTGGAGGTGGAGGAGGAGGAAAAGGAGGAAAAGGAAAGAGGAAGAGGAGGAGGAGGAGGAGGAGGAGGAGGTGGAGGGGGAAGTGTGCCCCGGGGTCGGCTCCTTTGCCCAGTTTCATAGTTCGCCGGTTGCGGCGCGGGGCCTCCGCCCAATGTTGGCATCTTGTCCGGCAGGGCCGCCCAGGGCCAGGAGGTGGTTGACGCATCCATCCAGTCAGGAGGGACAAAAAACACACACAGACACAATTAATCGTCGATTCCACAGAAAATATGGGAAGGCATGGGAAGTGCAGGGGGAGACAAAAACACCGAACATATTGGAAATATGGGGAATCCTGTTATTTTATGAATTTAACCGACCGCGGGCGATCATAAAGCAGCCCCCCTTTAACCCCTTTTATTTTTCGATCCCTGACCACAGGAATCTATCAGTGGGGAAGGTGCGGAGGCCGAACTTGATAATCCACGGAAAAGTTGTTGGGATCGAAGTTGCTATCATATCATGTTGATTTGCATCAGCATTACCAGCTGGCCATGGTGGCCGAGCATGGCCATGGTGGCCTCGCCACACCAGCTTCCGCAATCACGAGCGTGTGGCAGGTGTGTGGGGTTCTCACCAGTTCTGTTTGCCCACGTCACGACCGTGCGGCGGGGCCATGAGATCATCAGTTTCTTGGCTGTTCCCGAGTCAGGAACGTGTGGCAGGGCCAGAGGGACCGATTAGATTTTGATTGCGCATGCGTTTTTCGAGCAGGCAAAGCATTGGAGTTAGTTAGTTCAGGGAAATACTTTGTCAGCGCACCCCTCACACGGTTCGTGGCCCTTCGTCCTCTTCCTCCTCCTCCTCCTCCTCCTTCTCCCCCCCCTCTGCCCCCGCAACTGCCCAGGCCCAAGCTTCCCCGAGTCTCCGAGATTCCAAGCTTTCGAGCCTCTTCGAAGCGCCGAGCCTCTTCGCCCCAGGGGCAGCGATACGGGGGATAGTCACGCCTATGCGTCGGCGATGAATCGCCGATGCATAGGCATTTTTTTGGGGGGGGCATCGACGTGGAATCTGCGATACATCGCCGATGCATCGGGCGCGCATCGCCGATGCATCGGCAATGTACCACCAATTCCAGGTCGATGTCCCCCCCCAATGCCTATCCCTTCACATCATTGCCCCTGACTGCGTCGCGAGCCCCAGCGATGGCCCAGCCCGCCGAGCGCGCAGCTGCCGCGAGCCTGCCCGTCGAGGCGTTGAAGCACGCGGCGGCGCCGAGCCCGAGATTTTCGAGCGCATGGCCAAGCAGAACGAGAATATCATCGGGACACTGAGCTACCTCGCCGAGAGATTCAGCATCGCCGGGATGCGCCAGTGCCAGTGGAGCGCGCAAGGCACGGATGCAGCGAGGACGACGAGCTGCTATTTCAAGGCCGAGAGCACCGTGTGGTCGTCGAGCGCCCAACATGCCGTGCTGGAGATGGTCTACCAAGGCAGATGCCACAGAAGCATCGAGTACGGCCACGTCTTCAACGAGAAGGGCAAGAGGCGCATCGAGCTGGCCGTGGCGGTGTTCTTCAGGGCATACGTCGAGAAGCACGAGCACGTGCGCGACATCTTCGAGATCCACGGATAGCCGCCCGATGACCTCTTCTGGCTCATGCCGACCTTCGAGGCCAAGGGGCTCGCCAAGAAGAAAGACATGGAGCTCGGTGCCGAGAAGGTCGAGAAGCTGACCCGCGGCTCCTACACCGAGCGCGCCGGGCTAGCCCCCCCAGGCATCTCCGCCGAGCTCCTCCCCCTCCACGAGCTAGTGCTGCCGATCAACGGGAAGTTCGAGCCCGTCGAGCACTTGCGCGAGGGGCCCGCCGAGGGTGCCGAGAGGCTCTTCAACGTGATTCCGCGCAGGGCCCGAGAGTACGCCAGGCGGTGCAGCGAGACCTCCATGGTCTTGATGGCGACCGACGGGGTCGCCAAGGCCACGACCCTAGCCATCGCCAAGTGGCGCTGGTCCACCAAGAAGATCGCGGACGTGAGCTACGAGCTGCACGAGCACAGCTACCAAGGCAAGCGCGCCGAGCGGGACTATTCGAACACCGTCAAACAGCAGAAGCACGAGGAGGTGCTTCTCGAGAACCACATCAAGCTGCACTTCGACAAGTATGCGTCGATCCAGGAAGTGCACGACAAGCTCAACATGAACAAGCGCGATGACGAGAGGGGCCAGGCCGACGTGAAGGCCGAGTCAGGGCCCGCCTCGACCATGCTCGTGGGCGCCTGAGCGCACGAGCTCCCCGAGCCAAGAGCCCCGTTCTTTTCGCTGCGAGGGCGCCGTTTCGGGGCGCGCGCTCGAGCCCCGCCTGCTTTTCAAGCTCCAATAGAGCGCTCGAGCACGCGCGAGTGGCGCTCCAAGCTGCGGGGCGCTACTCCCCCCCCCCCCTCTCGCCGAGTGATCCTCGATAAATCGTCGAGGAATCAAGCGGGGTCGATCCTGCATCCTCGGGTCGATGATCCGAGATCTTGAGTCCGAGCAGATTCGGGCACCTTGGGCCCTAGATCCGAGGGTCGCCAAGCTCGGGCTCGAAGATCTCGGCTTCGCGATCCGAGGGTCGAGGGTCGAGCCTCGGGCTCGATCCTCCATCCTCGGATCGAGGGTCCGAGATCTTGAGTCCGAGCATATTCGAGCACCTTGGGTCCTAGATCCGAGGGTCACCAAGCGTGGGCTCGAAGATTTCGGGCTCGACGCCCGAGGCTCGAGGACCGAGCGCGGGCGATGGTAGATCGCCCTCGCCGCCGTCCTCGAGCCCGCGCTGCCGCCAAGCAGGCTCGACCCTCCATCCTCGGATCGAGGGTCCGAGACCTTGGCCTCGAGCATTTGCTAGCACCTCTGATCCTAGATCCGGGGGTCGCCAAGCTTGGATTGGAAGATCTCGGCCTCGACATCCGAGGCTCGAGGACCGAGCGCGGGCGATAGTAGATCGCCCTCGCCGCCGTCCTCGAGCCCGCGCTGCCACCGAGCAGGCTCGACCCTCCATCCTCGGATCGAGGATCCGAGATCTGGGTCTCGAGCATCTGCGAGCGCCTCGGACCCCGATGGTCGCCGGGCTTGGACTGGGAGACCACGGTTTCGACATCCGAGGCTCGAGGGCCGAGCCCAGCGCTTCTCTGGTCGCCCCCGGGCCCGCGCTGCCACCGAGCAGGCTCGATCCTCCATCCTCGGATCGAGGGTCCGAGATCTTGGTCGCGAGCATCTGCGAGCATCTCGGAACCTAGATCCGACGGTCGCCAAGCTAGGACTGGAAGATCTCGGAGGCTCGAGGACCGAGCCCAGTGCTCTCGGTCGTCCTCGGGCCCGCATTGCCGCCGAGCAGGCTCGATCCTCCATCCTCGGATCGAGGCTCCGAGATCTTGGTCTCGAGCATCTGCGGGCACCTCGCGTCGTAGACCCTAGGATCGCCAAGCTTGGACTCCAGGATCTCGGGTCGTCGATCCGAGGGTCGAGGGTTGAGCCTCGACGCCTGGCGGCCACGCGCGCGCGCTCAAACGCGCACGCGCACGCGCGCGCACGCAAGCACACCAACGCACACCCACGCACACACGCACGCACGCACACACACACACACACACACACACGCGCACACACAGACACCAACGCACACGCACACGCGCACGCGCGCACGCGCACGCGCACACGCACGCACACACACACACACACACACGCACGCTCGCACACCAGCACACTCGCGCACACACACACACACACACTCCCACACACCCACACTCCCACGCACACACACACACACACACACGCACACACTCACACATACTCTCACACACACACAATAACACAAACACAGTCAACAGCAGCCACGACAGCAGCAGAAAACAGCAAAACCGCAGCAGCAGGGCATAACAGCACCAATACAAACAGCAGGGATAACAAACAACTGCTGCACACCCGCGCGCTTGCAAACAGCAGCAATACAAACAATAATAACGAAAGCCACGATACAAACAAGAACCGCAGCAAGACAAACAACGCGAACAACAAACAACTGTTGCCAATTTAGGCTCGAGCATTCCAAGCCAGCTGAGGACGCAGCGCGCCATGGCAGAGATGCAGTACCCCATGGCCGAGTCGGACAGCGACGATCGCCGGCCTGTCGCCGAGCAGTCGGACGACGAGAGCGTCGGCGAGCGGGCGAAGGGCGACGAGTGGGCGAGGGAGACGGAACCCGAGGACAAGAGCCTCGAGGACAGGAAGCTTGACGACAAGAAGGTCACGCTCGAGGTCAAGAAGCTCGACGGCGAGAAGGCCGCGCTCGAGGACGCGAAGCTCGACGACAACAAGCACAAGCTCCCCCGCAAGCCCGCAGCGACGAGGCAGCGCGATGCCTCGCAGGCCTCGGCCCCGAGTTCCGACTCAGCCGCAGGTTCGAGGGCGCCAGAACAAATAACAAGAGACAGGTGCCAGAGCAACAAAACCACCGACACAAATAACACCAGCAGACGCAAGCAACACAACGCGCGCAAACAACAGCAGCGATCACGCAAACAACTGCAACCGCAACCAGCATAACAA